TGTGTGTGAGAGACATAAATAAGACAGCCCAATATTTAAAAAAAAATCTATTCTTGTTCGCATATTTCGCAACTTCCCGCAATTTCACCACATAAAAACCCTGCATGTTTAATCGCATAATCAAGGATTTTAGCCCGCGTTTTTCTGGAGGGTTTACTGTCCACAGGGAGCGTCAAAATCAACACAAAAGGGAAGTTCCTTGAAGTTTTCTCCGAATAATAATAATAATAATAACAATAATAATAATACATGTTATTTATATAGCGCTTTTCCTGGTGCTCAATGTGACCATTAAACCAAAAAGGTTCTTCCAGTTGTTCTTACTGTGGCAGATGTGGGTGTAGAGTTCACAGACAGCCCTAACAGAGTCAGGCGGGGGCTCCACACTGCTGGACGTGGAAGGGACAGCCACTGCTGCTTTGGCCCCCTCCTCTGAAGCCCTGCTCTCCTCTGGGCCCCGGGGCTCCAATGGGTTGGGCAGCATGGGGAAACAGTTCTGCATCAATTGAAGCAGCAGGACTCTGCTCTTCAACACCTCCTCTCCCTCACTGAGAAAAAAGCATATCCATTTATTACAGGAGAGACCTTAATATTTCTGCAATAGTAAATATTGATGTTTTAAAGGTTGAAGTAAAAAAAAAAAAGCAGTGACAGCACCACTACTCACATCTCCCTGAGTTTACTGTAGAAGTCCCAAAAGAGGTTCAGGCCAAGGCCGCTGAAGTCCAGAAGATACTTCTGCTTGAAGTGAGAGGCATCCTGCACCAGTGGAGAGAGAGGGCGACAGTTTACAACAATAACAAAAACAGAACATAATCATGAATGTCCCAAATATGAAGTACCAATTTAACATAACAGATCAGCCATACAGTAAAAAGACTTGTGGTAATGGATTGCAATTACTATAAGCGGGTCATCATAAATAAAAAAAGAATATAGTTAAAGTAACATTACGGAAGCTCAGAGAGGCAAGGGAAATCAATTCTGGGGATAAAAAATCTATATGTGAAAACAAAGGGATAAAGTTTGCATACTACAGAGGCTTGAGTAGCCACAAGCCCATTTTTATAAATAAGACTAAAAGCATTCATGTTTTCTTCCGTGTGAGTTTTAATTTCCCACTTGTGGTGAATAATAAAATAAAAGTAACTTGTAAAACATGATCATACTAAATAATTTTGTATCCCCGGAAAATACTGTTCTAAAGTCATTCACATAGGAAAGACAAATAAAATGAATTACTTCCCCCTAAAGTTTACGTGTCAAAGTAAATGAGTAGAGAAATAAACACATAAAGAAGTAAGTTAATTCACCAAATGACATTTGATATTTTGTTATAAATACAAGACTTAAGTCAAGCTTTTCAGGCCAGCGGTATGTTAAATTGTCATATTATAAACCTTGTGAATTCCTGCCACAATAAGGATATCCCTAATTGTTCTCAGTCTTTCTTGCTGGTGTTCTTCAATCTGAGATGATTTTAAACAATATTGATGTTTAAACGATTAGTAATAACTATAATTGTGACCAGTAGTTACCATTTCTCGTGTGAGCTGTTGAATGAAGTATAATGTCTTGTTAAGCAGACAAAGGCCAGTGACGACATCAGAGTCGAAGCTCTCTCCCTCCGGGCTGAGGTCGTCCAGGTCTGCCAGCCTCTCCGGGCCCGGGCACAGATACCCACTGAAGCTGAGCGACTGAACGCCAAGGCGCTCTGCAGAGTCCTGCCTGGTGCCGAGGAACTTCACCATCAGGAACTGGAAAGACAAGGAAACAGACGATTAAGGAGTGTGGTTACCTGATAATTACAGCAAATAGAATGGCCCTCGTTTTGCATTCTTTAGTATGCAGCAATACTTTTGTTATTGTGTTTTGGAAGCCCTAAACTATGGAAGCCCTGAAAGGTAATAAAGAAAACCATTCTGGTGATCCATTTGTTTTATCCAGTGTTTATGAAAAAATAAAAAGGTTTTGTCGAATAATATTTCTAGGTGACCAATACAAATTGTGTCATGCAATCCAAACACAACCCAAGATAACATGTATTATGTATTAGCAAGTTATGTCATATTTCTGCTAAGCTTTACATGCCATTTAGAACCATAGACTCTATAAAGAAATTGACACAGTATCTAAGAGGTCATCTATAGGTTTCTGAAAAAAGCAGTTGTGAAGCCGAAATGGACATAGGCAGTGTGGCAAACATTATATTTCACATATATTTGTTTTACCTGCCAAAACTTAATTTGTTTTGACCAATTCTTGACTGATTATCCAGGCAAAAACCACCTTGCAAATCATTTCCCCTGTTTCTTATCCTGGATCAGCAGAATTCGTTTTTCTCTCACTCGCCTCTCAGGGATTCCATACCTAATACTAAATGACAATATTTCAAAGTGTCAACATGTGTTTTGGATGCAGTACGTACCTTTGCAACACGACACTGCTGCAGCTTGATCTCAACATCGTTCCAGTCTTCTTCCAGCTCAAACCAGCCAATCGGCTCGTCCTCTGACTGTGTTGGAATCTTCACACTGCAGGTCAGGTAACAGCATGGTGAAACAACCATTCACTTACATCACTAAGACAGACCCCCAAACTACTGAGGAGTTGCATTACTTGTATACTTGTGAAGCGATAAACACAAAAGCATGGTAAATATTGGGAATAATATAATTCAGGAGTCTATGAAGGGATCCTTACTTGTCTTGCACAAACTCTTTGTAGTCCTTGTAGACCCACGAGTCGTACTTCTTGAACCTCTTGAAATGTTTCTCTGCATCAAAAGGGTCGTCTTCCTTGTATGCAAACACCAAGCCGCATTTTGCTCCAATGGCTCCTTTCCGCACCTGATCACACAAACCACAGAGTAAGCGTTTTGTACAGAAATCCTCATCTCAATGATATGGTGAAACCAAATTGAGCCTCACTTTGATCTTCATCTGCGTGACCTGGAAGTTACTCTGGTCCTCTGTCGACAGGATCACACTGGCTCTCTTCCTGCCGCTTTCGGATAGAAAACCTTATGAGCAAGAAAAATATCGTTATATCTGAGCACATGTCCATACCTCAGGGTTTGTACAGCTTTTAAAAGGGTTAAAAGACAAGGACTTTTCAAGGAACAAAAACCAACAGATTCTCAAAGTATTTATCATCTAGATTGCTACTAAAAATTGTATTCTGAATAATATTGTTTAAAGAATTCCTTTATAACAGAAACAACAAATAATTTGATGATGGGATTGTTTCATTTAAAATATTATTGATATTTGGTTTAAATACGTAAGACATTATGAAAATAAAAGAGCAGATTGTTTGAGTATATTTTAATCAAAAGCAAATGTTTTACTTTGAAAATAATGCAGGTATATTTAAGCAATTCCCCAACTGTCAAGACTTATTTTAAGTCTATATATATATAAAACTAATATTATTGCTAGTATTTCATGGAACAGGAATGGTCTCAGTTGTACCGTCTCCAGTGGAGGTTTCTGTCAGCATGTTATCTGGTCCTGACTTCTCCTCCTTACTCTTCACATCGCAGGCCTGCAGGTGCAACTGGAGGGGCTTCCCTGTAATAATAAGACACAGTGCATTATGACATCATAGTTATTCAATTTTCATACAGGTTATACTCATTTCCTATCTTGAGGCAATGATTCACACACTGCACTGCAGCTTTATAACATAATTATATCTTTTCCATTGCAAAGTCCACTAATGCATTTCCTCCTCCTCGCAGGCTAAGCACTTTCTCTGCTGTGTCTATGGTTTCAAATGGCCTAGTGTGAGTGAGAGTAAAAGGAAGGGCTGGTCACGTTACCATTGCGATTAAGTAGTCGCAGTCTCACTGAGGCCATAGACACGATGAGGGCGCCGGCCGTATACTCCGTCTCTAAATGATCGCTGATGCAGGACAGGGCTTGGAGCACTTTTGCCACACTGCCTCTGGCCAGAGCAAAGGCCAGGAGTGTCAATTCTGCATCAGGACTCACACAGCAGCTGCACAGGAGCAAAGAAACAAACAAGTTAGTTTCAGGGTGCCTATAGTCATAAGAGATGATCATCTGTATTTTTGGTAAAATGAGTGTTCATGCATGTTCATAACTCCAGAACTTATCTGAAAGCATTATTGATCACTGGCTGTATTTTTTCCTACTGTTCATGTTGGGGCGCAACTCAGACTGTGGACGCCAGATATTAAGTCGAAACATAAAAATGTTTTTTGTAAGAGGATCTTGTCCCCAATCACTTATATTTGAAAGGTCTCTGTGTGGCTGTTTCAGAGAAAAGTATATAGCAACCATTAAATGTCAATGTAGGCATGACTTGAACACATTTAAACATATCCTTTAAAGCTGCCACCCATCAAATAAAGCATGACTTTGTGGCTATAAAAAAATATGGATTGCATTATTTAGCAACAACATTGCAACAACTCCAGTATGGACCAATACTGGCCATGATGTATCTGTAACACTGATGAATTTAATACGTGTGTGAATAAACACAGTAATATTTCTGATCATTAACTGATAAGATAATGTCTCTCATGTTATTTCTGTCATGCTGCTGCTGGTGTTGTTGTTGATAAAGACCCTAGCCACCACTGAAGGATTTACAGCATGGAATGGAAATAGTGTGTCATCAGCCCGTCAGATCAATACTTTGACTTTAGCCTGTTTTAATTGTGATGATGTCAGCATAATGAACTCAGTGTGCCAGTGATGAGTAAGTGTGCTGATGAAATCCCAGCAGGTCATTACTCTGCTATCCTGAGGAGAAATCCATCCACTTCCTCCAGGATGTTCAGAGAGAAGAACTTGGGGAACTCAGTAGATGATGGTGTTAGGGACAATGGTGGCATGTGCCGTAAGGCTTTTCTAGGAGAAAGAAACACAAAAAAGCACTCAGAACTGGACAAACACTCAATTAATCATTAGAATCCTTGCAAACATCGCTTTTTTTTCTTTCATATGCCTAAGCATGAGCGTCTTACTGTGTGCTCTGTAGGACAGTCTGAGCGAGTGCAGGGTTAGTGTCCATGGATGCGGTGACCAAGGAGGTGAGGAGAGACAAGTACCAGATGGCTGAAGCATCGGAAACAGACACCTCTTTACTCTTGGTAATCTGATAGCCCAGTGTCTTCAAACCATGAATGCGCGTGTCACATCCATCGCTCAAACACCGCTTAATGTTGATTTGGATGTCTGGGATTTGGTGAGGAGATAATGCAGTTAGCAGACTGATGGAATACATAATGCAAAAGTGCTGTAATGGGTCGCTTCATCCTCTTAGAACCACACAAAGTAGATGTTGATGAGGGATAAACAAATCTCTTGTACTATATATGAGCAAGCAAAGCTAGCCAATGGATTTGTATTTGCTCATACAAAGCACGTTATCATTTTAGAAAAACAGGAGTGTGACTGGTTCAGCCTGAAGTCAGAGCTGCAAACCACAGGACTGTTTTCAAATGACGTAGCTTAATGTTTTCTCCATTTAACTTCTTCGAATATACATAACTGATCTTGCTTACAGTTCAATCAGTTCTCAATTGCTCTTATCCTCATGTATACACATTTATCTGAGCTTGTGAGGTTTAGCATAGCTTCGGCACGGTCAGACAATTTCTAATAAAAAAGGTGGATGTGTGGCCTATTGGCTACAGAGATGTTCTTTTAAGACCTCAGGGGAAAAAAACATTGAAATATAGAGTTTAACCAGTCAGCAGCAAATATAAACATTGACAACAAAACAGTGCCTGGATTTGATGCCAGAATTCAAGCTTAATTGATGCCAACAGAAGCTTGTATGATTATTCAAAGTGTGGCACTAAGCCATTAAACTACTTGATCAAAGCGGTGCTCTTCTATAGCTGCACCCTGACTTCATAGTGGTAAAAATGAGAAAAGCAATTCCTCTACAAGCGAGGGAAGACACCAGCGTAAGATAAATGAACACAAAGCAGACAGACAAACAGGTGGTGACTCACAGGGGTGTGTGATGTTGGCATTCTCCAAGAGAGCTACGTAGCCTGTGACATTGCTGGGGATGCGGATATCTCTGATCTCCTGCAGCGAACGCCGGTTCTTTCCGACGGCCACTGAAACCAGCTGAGGCATGTAGCTGTGGTCGTTTGAAACTACGGCAATGGCCAGACGTCTCAAAACCACATCAGGTTTCATCTTCAATCTGGGAACAGAAAAAAGATAACACATTAAAATGTATTATATTCATAGAGATCAAAAACATCAGGTAGGGCTGGGCAATATTTTGTAGATATATTATCGTGATTTGAGACTAGATATCGTCTTAGATTTTAGATATCATAGCTGTCTTTCCCTGGTTTTGACAACTGCATAATTGATGTCATTTTATGGATTTACCAGACTGTTCTAGCTGTTCGCTTTTTTCCCGCTGCGAATCCACATTACTGATGATCATTGTCATTGTGTTAATATTGTGTTAAAGCATCAATGGTCAACCATACAATATCGTCATGATATCAATATCAAGGTATTTGATCAAAGATATCGTGATGTATGATTTCCTCCATGTTTCCCAGCACTAGGATCAGTTGCAGATCCTCAAGTCACATTTTATACAGCATATACCCTTGCCTTATCCAGTGTGAGCGTGCACTGCCGTCCGACTGCCAAAAAGATCCAGTATCCCCATTTGTCATCTTGTAAACGTCCGGAACATTGGATGAAGCTTCTATTGAGCTGTAGCACTGCGTTACCACCTTGACTTTATCCACATCCGGATCGCGGTCCAGCTCTGCTCTGTACTGAATATCTAAATCTGGAAGACACAGACACAGATTATGATGCCTCTCTGAAGCTGTGCAGCTGAAGGAGACATACAATTGTTCATACTGTTTGTTTACCACATTCTTAAAATACACAAGTAAAAGCTACTATCCAGCACTAGCCAGACACTTTACTCTTCCAAAATGCACCTTTTTCCTTCTGCAAGAGGAATTCCAGGAAGTCCTGAACCACACTGGACCTCATGGTACAGATACTGTTGTAGCCCTCTAAGATGGGGAAGGGGATGGCACTGCTGGGAATACGATTCCTGTGTAAGAACTTAAGGATCTTAGAGGCATGTGCCCCTAACCGGTCTTTGGTCTTGGAGAAGATGTCCACAAAACCTGTGGGGAAAAAATGGGTTGAAAGATATTCAGGGTAAACTCAAATGCCAACTCAGGACAGACAATAGCTATACAAATGAGGTTGAAGGCAGGATAAAGCATCCTGGTTCAGGTTCATACCTGGAGTTAAGGAGCACGCCTGTAGCTGTCTTATCACATGACTCAGCTCTCCCTTTAGATTAGCTCCATTGGAGTTCTTCAAGGCAATCAGCATGCTCTCTACATCCACCACACCATCCCCCTCTGCATCAAACTGTCCAAAGGCCTGAGATAGGGGGAAAACACAGCACACAATGTGACACTTTATATACTAACACAACCATCCCATTCCTGCACACCATCACAAATCATACAGACATAACTTAAGGCAGAATTCAACAGTTGGTATTCTTCATTCAAAGGGCACACATTATGTCCCAGCTCATCTGATCGTTAGCAAGTTATATAGATATAATGTATGTTTTACAAATGTGCTTTGGATGTCTGAATCCTCAGAGGGGTGTGTGAAGCCCATCTTTTTTTAAGTATAACCATGGCATTCCATGTTTACCCACACAAAGCCAATGCAGACTACAGTACATATCCATTGGTCACCCATTCATCTGCAACCTTTGGTTCAACAACAAATGTCAGCCAACAAAGCAGCGTGGGCCTGGCTAGAATAGGCCAATGTTAAAAACAAGTGACAGTAAAACTGAAGCAATCAGGAAAGCTAATGTGTCTGACTCATTGATGGCAGGGATACGATGTGCTCATATTTGCTTATCTCTCATCATAAATGGCCTGGACAACAGCTATCAACGTGTATATGCTTGGACCTGGGATAAGAACAACATGACATATGGTTACTGACATTTCACTTGTCAAGTGAGAGGCACGTTAGCTTCTCTAACATTATATACCTCTTCACATTCATCTCGTGGGGCATCTCTGCTCTCCAACATCTCGCAAAATTGTTCCACATTGACAGACTCTTCCCCTCGGTTCAATCGGTCCTCTAGCCACCGAACCAGGACACCCTCGTTCCCGGCCAGGACAGACTCCTGAATGGCGACACCTGAGTCGCTAATGCGAGCCGCTGCTTCTCTCAGTTTCACTTGCTCCAACAGTATCCCGGGGCTAGGTGGTCCACCGGCGGGCACGGGCGGGTTATTCGACCCCCTTCCGCTCCTCCCAGAACCGGAGCTGCCGCCACCGCCTCCGACACCGACGGCCGTGGCCGCAGAGGCCGGACTGTCTTCCGCGAAGCCGGGGCTCTCCGTTTCTATGTCTTCCTCGTCGCCGCTGCCCCCACCGCAGCCACTCTCTGCGTTCCCCATGTTTGTTTCACCGACCTAGGGCTCCCCGAAAATCTCTGCGGCCCTCTGGGTGTCAGTTTCGAAACGGGAGTACCGGTCTGTACACAGACCTCTCTAACCTACAGCTAAAGCTCTGCCGGGCGTTCACTACTACCGCATTGACGTAGTGTACGTAAACGTGCTGCCCTGAAACGTCCTTTTCTCCGCGCATGCGCTGTGGCGTCCCCATTCAAGGAAGCAACTGTGTTGTTGCCATGGGTGTATTTGTCATTATACTACAAATAGAAGCGATGTAATGTGATGTAAATGGGTAATATACCAAAACGGTCGAATGAATAACATGCTCGGCTATGTATTGGGCGCGTTTTTACCCCTGGCACTTGTGTTCATTCCTCGCGAGTGGTTTCTAACATTTGGAAATGGAACAACCCAGGTACCCCCTGTACGGCTTTTGAGCAGCCGCGAATTATTGCTTTACGACGGGGAGAAAAGCAGCAAGGGCCTTTACCTGGCAATACTCGGGCAAGTATTTGATGTACACAAGGGACACCATCACTATGGACCCGGAGGTGCTTATCACTTTATGGCAGGTGATTATTCGTTTTTTCTACAGTACCTATATTATTGTATATTTTAATACCTGAGCTCACAACCATAGAGATATCTTAATGTGTACATGTGGGTAGTTTATGACACATTGTCTGATGCTGTTAAACAACCCAAACCTTTAACAAACTTAAATCGGGAACATGCATTTAGGTATAATACAAATACAAACATAGCCATAAGTATCCTACTGTACAATTATCTTCTATGTCTGCATTTTCAGGCAGAGATGCCTCACTGGCCTTCATCACAGGGGACTTCACAGAGAGGGGCCTGACAGATGATGTGTCCAGTGTGTCCCCACAGCAGCTGATCGCCCTTTATGACTGGCTGGCCTTCTATCAGAGGGACTACAAAAGTGTTGGTGTGTGATCTTTGCCCCTCCAACTCTTTTCTTATGAATGTTTTGGTATAGCACATGTATACCTTCCCAAATAAAACTAGTTGGCAGTTCAATTCCAAGTATGTCCTGATATCCTATTCAGTTCACCTTTATAACAGTTAGTTGCTGACATGTAATGTGGATTATTTACCTTACTCCTATGGCAGTTTATTTTTCGAATTGGTGGTGTAGCATAACAACGTTCATCAGGGGATAAGTTCAGGCTTTTATTCCTCAGCAGAACATTAGGAAAACCATTAGAATAACTTTTTGGTTTATTTAAAGCCAATATTACTCATGTTCAAACTACTCCTGAGTATTCATTGTGAGTGAGTGAACCTCCTCTAGTTTTAAGTTATTTATTGTCATTTGCACAATTACAGAATAGCATTTATTGGCAATGAACATGTTATATCTCAAGGTGAATGTGCCAATACAAACTTTTATTGTAGTTTAGTTGTATTGGGAAGGGTATGTAGTAAAACCAAAACTTCACACGACAGGATTTATAGCCTAAGCTTATTTCCAATCATTCTCCCTAGACTTTTAAAATACTCTACACAAAACTTAACAGCACGTACACAGGTTACAGCACACAACACAAACTCAAAAATAAGAATGTTCATTAAAAACACAAACATCCGAAGTGACCAAGACAATACAGACAAAACAATAAAGCACTCTTACTGTAGAGTTACAACTTGAGCAGTATTTTGAATTGCAAAAGCTGGATTTGAATAGTTTAACCAACTGCTGACTTAGATTGTTCTCCTAATCAATAGACATCATTTTCAGTAAAACTCCAGCAAACAAACAAGGATACTACGATGTCTTGTTGCATTTCAGGTCTGTTAATAGGCCGGTTCTACAGCGAGACCGGGCAGCCCACACAGGCCCTGCTGCAGGTCCAAGCATCCCTAGCAGTCGGCCGGCGAATGAAGAGCCAGAGAGAGGCTGAGAAGGAACGCTTCCCAGCCTGCAACTCAGAGTGGAGCACTGCCAGGAGAGGAAGAGTTTGGTGCTCCACTAAGAGGTATGGAAATAGTGCTGCCCTAATCAAATATTAAAGAGCAGACAGTGGGTGTTTCTCAATCTTGAGTAAAGCTGCTCCAGAGCCACTATTTCAAGCATACTATGTCATCGAGTGCCGCCGAAGTACTGTTCCAATGTCCAGCATACTTGGAATTCTACAGAGCCCGGCGTACTTTGTTTGGAGAAATTTCGAGGCTGCACATGTGTTGACTCCGCGGTCTTGAAATCCCCACAATGCTTTGCGCACAGACAAATTTCCCCAAATCTGTGGCGGAAAATGTAAGGCGGGGCCTCTCATATGAAGCACGCCTGCACACTTGCTAGCCTGTTCCTCTCTTTGTTTTCCGAATGCCAGGAAGTATTCTTGCCTCGCTTCTGAAGCAAGTGACTCGGAAGACATGTGCTACCAAGCAAGCGTACTCGAGATTGAGAAACACCCAGTGTATTCACCGCAATGTTGTGATAAAGCGCTTACCTTACTGTAAAGAGCCTCATACTTACATGCAAAATATTGGTATACATTAACAACACTGGGCAGTAGTCTGTAGGGACTTGATGCTGATTCAAGAAAGGACCAGGTACCGAGAGTGGACCGGTACTTTGAGAGTTGCCAGTTTGCCTCCTGGTCACTGCCGAGGTGCCCTTGAGCAAGGCACCAGCAGTGCTCACTTGTCACTGTATAATAGCTGCCCACTACTCCTTGCTAAAATGGGTTAAACGCATAGGCTAACTTTCACTCGTACATGTATATGTGTGGAACAATTAAAAGAGGGATATATTTGTATCCTCAGTTTCAATACTTCTCTATTTTTTTCCTCCAGTGGTGGAGTGGACAGGGTTTGGACAGGTGTCCCACGGAAGCTCTTCTCTCCGGGCTCCAGTGGTGTTCGTTGTGTCTGTGTCAGAGATCCATCTGCAGCAGAGGAAGACCCCAACCTGCAGAAATATGATGGCTGCCCTCCACAGGCCGAGTCATGCTCTGTGGCAGAGTTCTAGTGTCTGAACCAGCCTAGAATATTGACCAATTTCTTGTTTATTAGTTGCACAAATACTCAGGGACTTTTAACTTATTGAAAATAAAATAATGAAGAAAAGAAGTCAACGCGTTGTTTTTTGATGACCTTTATGTAAAGTTGTCCTCCCTTTCTCTAAAAGGATACACCAGGAAGAAACAGGCTAGATATCTGAGCATACAGATACAATATAATGTGCATAAAAGATTAAACAATGTGCATAAAAGATTAACAGAGGCAAGATTTAGGTTTGTCACAATGACAAGCACAAACTGCATTTAAGTACAAAACAGCTGTAGTGGTCAAAAATATCACACATTTATCTGTACAATTTAACAATACTTAAAGAGGCCCCACTCCTTGGCCACATCCCTCTGCTCCACATACTCCCCAATGATCGAGAATGTCATGTGATCTTGATAAAGTGCACCTGATAGGCTTAGAAATCAAGAAGCGTTAAATGTGGTGGGTTAAGACGACTTGACTTGAGGCCACATTGTGGGTTCGATGCTCATAACTTCCTATGAGGACCTCATGGCAGATAAAAAATGGAATGTAATTATAGATGACTGATTTTGAAAACATGATTTAAGGCTACAAATCAAAATGACACACTTAGGGATGACAGGCATTTCAGTAACAGGAGGAATGTTGAAAGATTTCTTTTGGGACTCACATTTATATCTTTTGATATAAAAGTTCACATTTTCGCAGCTTGCCATGTTAAAAATTAAGCATTTCATTGAATTGAGCTGATGCCCACACATGATAGACTCTACCAATCGCGGAAAAATAAACATTTCATAAAGCATTTTATTATTTTCTAGTTGTGCCATCTTTCATTAGACAATAAAGTAATTGAATGTTATAATGCTAGCTTAATAAAACCAGTAGAGGTGCTTCCCTTTACCATCCAAATTGTTCCAGTTAATACAGAATTAGAGTCTCAGAAGATTTAAAAATTAAAGATAACAGAACATGATGATGGTGTAGTATTTGGAGATAGAGATATCGATATTTAAACCTTGCTCTTGTAGGTATTGCATGTTTGCCTTTGGGCAGCTCACATAAGCGGCTGCTGATGGTGGAATATCCCATTAGAGAACAGGAGAAATCCCTCCAAAAAGATGTTTGATTTGAATGTTCATTGAAATGAAATGTCTTTGTTGTGATAAGAGCCAATCATTACAAACATCATTGGGTCAGGGAAACTGATGAACAAACAACCATCATCGGGCTGGAGAGTGGCTTATATCCACTTTAAAATGCTTTGATCAAAACAGAAACAAAATGACAATGCTTCACTTTCTATATGAAAAGTCCCTCTAGAACAATAATAGTTTTTTCATAGATTGGTATAGTATAAAGATGATAATTGTCCCATGTCTCTTGTTGGTTTGTTCTGCTACCGACATCCCTTCTCCTGGTGTGCCTGAATAACTGTGCCAAGGCATGGCCAGCGTCAGAGGGTGGAGGATATCCGGGCCACTGTATTACGACGTTACCCCACCCAGAGTTAGTACATCGAAGCAGATGTCACACACCCTCACCGGCTTGTTCAGGTCAAACTTGATGATGGGGATCTCCTTTATAGAGCACTTGTGGCACAACAGGCGCCCACAGTGGCGGCTGGAGTCAAAGGAGGAGACACAGGATTATAAAGAGGAAAAGAGGAGTATTGATTGCACATATTCAAAAATCCAGTCTACTCACCAGTGATGTTTCCGTGTTGTAACACCAAACTTGGCGAGACATTCATAGCAATTGGACCCATCACACCAAGGAGGCTCTTTGGACAGCATATCTAAACAAAAACAAGAAATTGTCACAGGGATCAAATACATTGCATCAGAGCATATCAGTTAAAGTAGTGCTGTTTTAAAGTCTCCCATTAGGCTATTTTGTGTTTCCCCTTTCCTGTAGTGTGTTGTATAGGTTTTTGTGAATGTAAATGGTCAGCAAAGGCTAATATCCCTGTGTTCCCTCCAGAGGAAGTTTCTCTCCCACACAATTTCTCTCCCCCCCCCTGCCTGAAACGCCTCCATTGCTGTCCTTTGTTTACTTCTGTAACATATTGACATCACTATGAAACACTAGCAGT